ACTTCGTTATATCCGGTTGTACTCCTAGAAAATCCTCCTACTGCTTCGTCGTCGGTCGGTATTTTTCCTGAAGTGGCTTCGACCTAATAAGTTCTACGGCAAGCGCGCAGCGTTCACGAAGCTTTCCTTTCTCTCTTTTCCCCCGCTTTACTTCTCTTATTCCTTTTTACAAATTTTATATTTTTCTTTCGCTATACGTGATTTTTTTATATTTATATCCCTTTCTTCTACATCCCCGCGGTTGCGTGGTTATTTTTCAATGCTGTTATCGACAGGTATATCAAAAGCAGATAGATGGAGAGAGAGAGAGAGAGAAAGAGAAAGAGGGGCGAATGAATTACGCGGCGATTTTAGCGGAATGTTTTTTACATAGTCGTCCGATTGTTTGCGAGGAAATAATACATGTTATCGAATTTCGTTTTCGAAATTTGCTCCAATTTTAGTGAATCTGTCGATGCATTTCTCGATTCGAGTTGCATAACTAGATTAATCAGATTAGGATAACGTGTGTTGAATTAGAAAGATAATGCAGTTTATTCATTATCGGAAATTATCAATGAGGGATCAGAATTATTTTCTGGACAAACATAAGAGAATTCTAATATTAGTATGTGCGTTGTTACTCAATAATAACTGTGCATTCTGAATCGAAACAAATCGTCAGAATATTTCATGAATTATTTTATATCTTTTTACAAATTCTTTTAATCTAATGTAACTATATCTATGATACACGATTCATCTTTTGTTGTCTATCATTTATAATATTTTATTCAAGAATCATATTTTTGATATAACATTTTTATACAAAAGTGATGAATATCCTTGTGGGATATTTTTTGTTGCGAAATTATTAAGTTTCAACGTTTATAATATTCTGGTGTATTATTTGAGAGACAAAATCATTTTTTATGCGTGAATATGTGTAAAGCTTTATTGATGATATATTTTAAATATATATTCATTTTGACAAATTTATATTTTTGTACACAAAATAAAAAACTTTCTAAAATATTTCACAATTTTAGATTTCTAGAATACTGAAATATATACATGTAGGTGATTTTTTGTATTACAAGTATAACGCAAACTTACACGTGAGCAAATTTGCCACTTGTGGTGCTATCACAACGCTCGTTTCATTTCACATCGTTCACATCATGGCGTATCGAGGACGAAAAAAGCGAGCGTTGTAACGGTACTAGAGACCGTAACATCGGCTTGGTTGGCATATTCTGGTGAAGGTCTAGTCTAGACAGAGAGCTGCCAGGTCGATATGGCACCTCGGTCGCCGAGCAGGACGACCCGATATGGCGAGAGGAGGATACCAACGACAGGAGGAGAATGCGATCATCGGAGGGAGACGACGGACAGAAACATACACGTGCGGTAGATTGGCAAACGATTCGCGAAGGCTCAAGCACATGAGGAGACAGCACGGTCGATATACACGAGAGGGACATAATTCTGGACCCGTTATTATGACAGATCGAGTACAGGCAACGCGAGGACATGCACTAAGTCGCGCTCTACGAGAAACATTAATTCTGTATCAAGCGATTTTCAATAATTTACAAGAAAAGAAATCTATTTGTTATTGAAAAAATTTAATCAAAAAATTATAATTATTAATTAATTTAAATATAATTAATAATAATTAAAATATAATTAATTAATTTAATAAAAATAATATTTGATATCGTTAGCTCGAAGATCGAAGGATTAACTTGAAGCCAAATTTTATTTTTTTATGCGATTGAAGGTTTTATCGTATTATTATTCTTCTTTATATAATACCGTTCTCGATCTTATATGATATTGACATATAGATGCGGATTTCAAACGTTGTTTAATTACGATTAATGATTGAAACGAAGGCGAAACGAGCCAACTGTTGCTGTAGAATACATCCAAAGATGAATAGCACTTATTGATCGTTTACGCCATTTATCGAGATTAACATGTTATATCTCATGACTTGGTTTTACTCAGTATCGCTATTAATTTAATGAATAACTAATCATTTTATGATATAATAAATATATACAATAATAAAAATAACGTTTAGAGAAAAATATAGCTGTGCATTTTGTATTGTTGGAAAAGTCATTATATCGAGAACTATCTATGTATCTATTTAAATGGACATGATGCAAAATTTGCATGAAATCTGAGGAAAAACTTCAATAATGATATAAAATTTGTTTTTCAAAAATGAACGGTTATATGTCCATCACAAGTACCTATTTTCGATTTCTCTAATATTTATGAGACGATCCGGGATTACGTTTTCACGTTGAACTTTCACGATGTCATAATGTAGATAAAAAGTACACGTATCATTCGTATTTTATAACTGGTATGTCATTCGATATACTTGAGTACGATGCAATAATTACATTAGGAAAGTAGGAATTTTTTTGCTTAGTTCGTGGCGTGACTCCGAAGCTTAATTAGCGTGAAAATTGACGTCATGTTGTGGAGCAAAAATTATTTAAACGTATTGTACACGCGGCGTGAAAGGAAATGAAAACGAGACGGTATATTAAATTCCACTTTATATCTCGCATATTAATTCTTAGAAATAGCGCGCAAGGACGACTTATAGTTGCTATTTTGGATATTCTGTTTAATGGACGTTGCGTGAGTTAATTGAAATTCATAGAAATCGATGGGAGAGACACTGAAGTAGACGTAATTATTGTTTTACGCATGCATGCGCTTCAAGGAAAGTTAATTATTTTTTTTCCATAGTAATATTACTTTAAAAAGAAAGTTTTAGATTTCACTCGCTTTTTATATTAAATAGTAAAGGATGGAGAGGTAGAAAAGGAAGATTCTAAAAAAAAAAAAATTTCATATTTTCAAAATAAGAAAAATGCTTGAAAATAAAAATAAATACAAATTTTCCCTCTCTATGACTTTATTTTTTATTTTGATTTTTAACTCACAGATTTTTGATACATTTTTCAAAAAATTTTCATCATTTTTCAAATACATTTATTTCATAAATTGTGGAATTGTTAAAAAACTTTTTATCGTTTTATGGATTTTACAAATTACTTTATATAATTGTTTTATCTATGCATTTTATAATAATAATAATTTTTTGTATAATTGTATTTTGTAAACTTCGTAGTTATTGATTTCGTCTCTCGAGATGAATAATCTTTTAATCCTTTAAACCATTGCATGATGATGATGATGAACGTCATCCCATTTATCTCGTTTATAGAAAAATTGGAGGAAGCGGAACAGGAAGTAACTATCATTTGGATAAAAAGGCGAACTTGCCTAATTAAGGCTTCATTAATGAGCGAATCGCGATGGGAGTAAAATAACGAGCGTTTTGTGTCTAAGTAGAAGAGAAGCAGCTATATTATGAGAGTAGACGCTAAATTTACCACGATCGATCTTTTCATGTTAATCTCGAGTCTTCAAAGCTGAAGTTTTTCATCAGACGCAAATAATAAAACGCAATCTTTTATTTTAGATCACGAATTTCTGTGTAGTTTTTTTGCGAGAATTTGTGGAATATTAAAAATTACTAGGGCGTATTTCAATTTTTTGAAATATTATATGTATATATAAATTTTTTTCATGTTACATAATATTATATACGTATGTATAATATTTATATACAAATCTCGATTGTAAAATGGAAATTACAATATTATTTAAAAATATAAAAATCAAACAAAGCGAAATAATATATTTAATCGAGAGAAAGATAAAATAATATTATATTTAATTGGGATAAAGATAAAATAATATTATATTTAATTGAGCTAAAGATAACACATATTTAGATTATTAATTAAAACTATAAAGACAATTAAATAGAGATGATTACCGGAAAGGCTTATAAAATTGAAAGGTGGATAAAATCCCTCGTCTTAAAACATACAGAGGAAAGTTATTGTCACGAATGTCATGTACGATATAAAGGATTTAATTCTGCGCATGTCGTGGATAAATTCCAAATGTCAAAGTGGCTCTTTGAAAGAAAAGAATTTCATGAGCGTTACTACAATTCTTTAATTTCGTTCTCTAATTGACGTCTGCGGTAACCAAAAGCACAATGGATGAATAACGTACCCACGTGTATGGATTCGCGTGGATTTAAATGCAGTAATTAAAAGAAAAAAGAAAGAAAGCGAAAATCTTTTTTCGTCTCTTTTTTAACGTGCATGGAATCGTCAAACCCAACGAAGGAAATCACCGTGTTTCTCCGCTTTTCTTCGTATCCTGTACCTTTGGATCAACTTGTCGTCGCCTTCGGCTCGGAGTTTAATTTACTGTAGGAAATCTACTCGTTTCCGCGCGCACGTGGACCATCTCTTCCTGCTCTGAGTAAAAACCTGGCACGTCGTTCCGCTACTGTAAATCAAAATATCCGCTGGAGCATCAACAGCGACGACAGATTGCTATTTAATATAGGACAGGAAATTTAAGAAAGCGAAGAAGAGTTTCCCCTTTAGAGACAATAAAACTACACGCCGTCTTCGGGGATGTTCTTGAAACTAAAAAAAAATCTCAACATTGTTTGAAAACGTAAAATATGAAATACTATGAACAAAGAGTACATATAATTTATATTTCAAGCAGAAATGATTTCGACGTTATATTGTCATGTTGCAATCAGAACCACTTTCATCAAATTCCAATTAATTTAATCATTTAATTTTACAGAGTGATCAATATCAACATTTTTAGCCATATTATATCGCAATACATGACATAATACATTGTCACATAATATTGTGATATAACACAAATTTCATCGTTGGCTAATCGCGCAAGTTATAATCAACGAATTAAATCGATCCAAGTTTGGCGGAAGCGGCCCTCGAGTGACAGTCCGACTCGGCGTACGAGGCGTATCGAATCTCCGAATTTATTTCGCGGAGCGTCCGGCAGAGGGCGCGGCCGCGCGGCGTCACATCGTGGTGCGCGTGAGCGGCGGCGCGGCAGCGCCAGCGCCAGTACACTTTCGGACGTCGCAGCGTGCGTGTCGACGCGCCGCTCCCGGTCTCTCGCGCGCCAAATATCGGCGATTCCGCCGCTTCGTTTTTTCGTCGATCATCGACGGCGAGTCGTCTCGGCCGCGAGACGATTTCATCGCGCGTTGGTATCGAGTGAAAATTTTGCCGCGCAATTCTCGTTCGATTTTCCGAGTGCAATCGCCTGTGGATTACGCGCGGCAGCTGCAGCGGACGGCGAGGACGAAACAGGTCAGGACAGGTTGTTTTGGACGGCCACGAATTTGTCGTATGCGGTGCGTCCGAGATTTACGAACTGGCCTCATCGATCGTGTTTCATTAAATCTGCTGAGATGCACCGATCTCGCGCGAAAAATTGTCAGTATCAAACTATTGCGTCTTCTCTTTTGCATATTTATTTATTCATATTTCTTTCTATATAACGTTGATTCGTAACTTTTGCGATTAGCATCAATTAGGATAGTAGTGTAGGTCAATAATGAAAAATATCCGATAGCAATGAAACGCACGTTATTTGCAAGGCTTTTAGCTGTGGATAACTTTGGATCGAGTGAAATTGTATTTATATTGCAATGTATTTATTGCGTTTAATATGGAACAATTTTAAATCCAATTTTAAATCCAATTTAAAAGTAACATTACACATATTATTAAAACCGTAAACCGTAATTTATTTTCGCGATAACCTTATTGCTCTGAAGGCGGTCTTCGTTATCTAATTGGAACTGCGCGCGAGTTTTGAATATAACAAGCACATTATTCGTTTTTGATATGTTAACGCGTTTGTTGATATTTAATTTTTCTAAATCTCTTCACAGTCGATATATATCGCGCAATGTTATTTATATGTTATTTTAAATTCTACTCGTGAAAAAAATTCAAGATATAATTTATAAATATAATAGTGAATTTGGAAAAAGATGTCACTTTGATGTACGAAATATATGTTTGAAATTTTTCATATGGAAATTTTATTTTTGCATCGTTTTAAAATTCTTTACAACAAATTTTTATTCGAAAAAAACTCAAAAATTCAATATATTTAATGTAAAGATTTAATTAGAATGTTTAAATTAGTATATTTATTTAATTGTAAAATTACTTATCGGGAAAAAATAATTTTTTAAATCGAATATTGAGCGAATAATTTTAACTCGAGTAATAGAGCGGTAGAAGGAGTTAGGAAAATGAATATCGCGTCGATAGAATTTTCACAACTGAATTAAAGAAGTCGTTGAAAATGCATAGCTTTATGAATCAACATTTCAATGAATGGAGACCGGAAACGAATGCAAACGAGAATGTGGAAGGTCACAGCGATAAGTTGGAAAATATCGGCGTGTTCCTGGTGATCCTGAAAGCAACATGCATTATGGATTCCTAAAATATTAACGCACACAGAAGCTTTTATCTTTCGATACCGCCGCTGAACACATGATAAATTAATCGCGAATCATGGATAGATGTACGTACATGCACGGTTGCTGCAATGGGAATTGCGTAATATGCAAAAGAAACGCATCGGTGAGCGTTCGTTACGCCATTGCCTTTATATAATTTCCAGAATACCGAAGATGATTATCGTTATTTATGCTGCAATCGTTTAAAATCCACCGAGGAATGGTTTAATCATATTTATCATTTTCAATCTAATTCTTTCGATAATTGTTACAATTAACCTTTATAATTAACCTTTGATATTTTATAAAATTTTGAATAAAAACTGAACGCGAAAAGAAGAAGTGAAAGAGAGAGAAGGAGAAAAATCGAAAATATTTTGCATAATTTCCAGGAAATCCGATTACACGACTTAGTGATTTACATTCAACGAATGAATTATTTAAATGTTTGGGATATAATTTCGCGTTGTCGGATTACAAGTCCTGTATGTTAAGTCCCGACATTCCCATCGCGAGAGGAGATGTATTTAACCAGGATCTCTTTGTGTATCAGAATGCAATGGCACTTTATGCATGCATCGAAGAACCTTGACCTAACTATGTGACATTCTTGAATCACGTGTAATCGTAATGATTTCAGTAAACAGGAAATCGCGAACTCGGTGCGACGAGATAGCGTAATTTTTTTTTTTTAATAATATCGTACAGTACTAATAATTTAGACGTCTCTTTGGCGCATTTTTTTTATTCCAGAGAGCGTTACGTGTTTTTAATTGGCGTTACGTGTACGAAACGCGCACATAACACAAACGAATGGAAATTACGAGCAACGAAATATTTTTTACATACGATACACGTCGTGCAATGTGGTTGCGTGCAAATACATATTCGATACGTAATCCACGTATATTTATCCAACACCGGTCTTTATTTTCGAAATTTCTCCGAAGCGAGAGCGAAGAGAGAGAGAGAAAGAGGAGAGAGAGAGAGAGAGGAGAGGAGAGAGATTGTGAGAGGGAAAAGCCATATATATATTCTTCGGTCAAACTTTTCCCATTCGCAGGCGAGAGAGCGATTCTGTCGGAACCAATTTCGTTGAAAGCTCGTTTGCATGTATAGATAACGTGTAACATGTCGTTATTCCGTCGTTGATCCGATGATGCATTCTTGCGAGTTGAAAGCGGAGGTGTCGCCGCGCAATCGAAAAATTCTCGCGAAACGACGAATTTTTATATTTTCGATCAAGCATCTTTTTTATAATTCATTTTTTCACGTGGCAACATTTAAGAATATTACTACTTTATCCTAATAATCCAACGGAATATTAATAATTTCAAATATAAACGATATAGACATGAAAAATGTAGAGATATTTAGAACAATATACTTAAAAAAAAAATTATTATGTGCAGGGAAAATGGATTCGATTTATTTCCAGCGCACTTTATACCTCTCATCTTATTTTCGAATTTACTTCCGTCGATGATGATGGGCTCGCAAGCGCGCGCGGATCGTTCACCTGGAATATTTTAAAGCCCCGAGGTATATCGAGAGAGAGAAAAAAAAAATGGATGTCGCAAAAAGTTCCGCGCCGCGAGCTCTCTTCACCCACCCTGAATCTCTTTTGTTGATTTTCGGTTAACGATCATCGACCGACGACGCGTCTTCTCTCCCATGTGAGAGTATTTTCGCGCGCGAACCGCGAATGTTCGTTTTCCGGTGCTTCGATCCGCGCGTTGCCTCGTTCACATGCGCATTTTGTTACACGTCGTTGCCTCGCTTCCTCGTTTCTCTCGCTGTTTCGACGTTGTTACGAACAAGTGCGAGTTACCGTTTCCATTCCGGTGCTGGTAGACGCTTTTGTCGGACAGTAAGGTAAAACAATACAGCTTGTCTTGTTATAATTAATCGCAGGTAGCGGCGAAAATTGAGGATAATTACAGTCATCGCAGTTTTAATTTATTCCGTCAGCATTTTCGACTTCTATCAAAGATACGCGTATTGGCTACTTAATTCTCTCGCAAAAGTCGTGATAAAATCGAGAGAATAAGTGTCTTTCTCTGCCGTATAATCGCATCAATGCGAAATGTAGGACAATTTCGCACTTTCCAAAAACGTTAATAAATAAAAAAAATTATGTAATTAATTTTATTGCATAGTATAAAGATGTAAATATCATTTAAAATCATTTATTAATTGTAGTATCTGTATACGCCTTGAGCTTTAATTTATTCGAAATAATCCGAAAGCCAGGTATTGATCCATCCCGTGCTCTCACGCATTGTAAATCTCGCGAAATTTTTTCCTCTCCAATATCGATATTTTGTTTTCCCATGCGATATTATATATTCAATTAATTATAGTCGCAGCATTTAAAACAATTTGCGGCGATCAAATTTATTGTACTATGATGACAAGCGATTGACATTTTATGTAACGTGTGAGAGCTTGCGCAAGTTGGATTACGTATTAAAGTCTGCTGGAATGAAGATTGATGTGTAGCTATATCTACCTACGCAAATTAAAGCCGATGTGTTTTAACATTAAGAGATTCAAAATTACCGGTAATCAATCTTTTCCGTCAATTTATCACGTCCTTTACCTTCTCCGCGGAGTGTGCGACTTATGAACTTTTTTAAAATAGCTCGTTTATATTTTATATCTCGTGCTTTCTCGCCGCGATATCTTTCGGAGATGCAACACGCATCGCCGTTTCGGGGGGACGACACGTGATTTGTGTTAGCCACCGAATCCTCTCGAGTTGAATCTGCCAATTAAACGTGAAACGAGCGGCATGCATCGCTTCCTGTTGAAGGACGAACACGTGTTTCGAGTTCTTGAAACCATTTCCAACATGCCCTGGTATGTTTCCTGTCGACGTCGAGTCTTACATAAGACAGATGTAACGCGCTTCCTTCCTTTTACATTTTCCTTTTCTCCCGCATAGAGGATACTTAATCGAGAATCTCACGTGCATTTCCATTATATCACTTCTCGAATGGAATTACAACGTACTTGGAGAATAGGTAGTATTTTTTTTAATAACAGCCCTATCTCGATGAGCTTAGCCATTTTGAAAATCGTGGAAGAAAAAATGTTAACGATCCTCTTAATTATACGGTAATCGACGAAGTAATTGCCGCGTTAATTATGCAACTTATCGTTGAATTGATATATAATAATAGTTTGAACGATGGCATAATCGGTTTTATTCATCCAATTAGTTCTTTCTCTCGGCGTATAATATTCACCGTAGGTGCAAATATACAGGTGACTTGGAAGTGGTTGATAGAGAGTTAACTAGCGACACCGCACACACCACATGCCAGCCGTATCATCGCATTATCGGATAAATTCCGCTAGCCGGTACTGACGCGGGCTGAAACGATTGCGTCATCGATTTTTGCACCTATATTTTCCCCCCCTCACCTCGGTCACTGCCCCGGTAAAGGGGCAGTCCGATCTGCGTCCGAGCATGAAGGATAGTGCATCGATTTGCCGGTGTTCTCCGTAAATATTTGCGTGAACGTTGCGGAGATGCATGCGCGTATAGTTATCGCGACGAGTGAAATCGCACCATGTATAAATGTTATCCCGTCGATGCGTAACGAAGGCATTTTTTCCGCGCTATAAACGCGCCTCGCGCCCTTGCATCGCTTAATACGGCTTAAGAATGGAAACTATTTCGAGCTACCGAGCTCTAGTAGCTTACACGAAGTAAGTTGTACGACGCGAGTAGGGGCCTTTTTCAAAATAATTAATATATAATCGTGCGCGAATATAAATATTTTTTTAATATGTGATAAATTCTTTGACGTTTCCGGATTTTTT